GGCGCAGCTCTTCATTATTTTTTTACTTGGGGTCATATTTTTCTGGTTCAGTACTTAACAAAATACTATAATAACAACTGACATTCATAAATATAAATTATGACGTTTTGTCGTGGTTGGGCTGGAAAAATATGGCCCTATGTGTGAGAGCTGCGTCAGTTGGTGTTGCTGGCTGACCAAACAGTCATGACGCTAACTATATCTGTTGTTTTTCAGCTGAGGGACCACTCGCAGGCAGTCACGTCTTGAAGATTTGTCTTTTTTTATCACTCTAGGTGGGTTCTGGTTATAAAAACATATGTATACATGTATAAAAAATATATATAGAAATGTTTTCCAAAAGTTATAACTGTTAACTGTTGGCTGCGATGGCAGTTATTTTACTGTTGGTTTTGTTGAAGTTATTTTGAAATGAGAATGTTTTGTTTTGATTTTAAGAAATTGTTAACTGTTCGATTTAACCTATACGATCACACACACACACACACACACACACACACAAAATGTAATAAAGAATTCTGCGGAGTGCTGGTGGAGCTGAGGGACCACTCGCAGGCAGTCACGTCTTGAAGATTTGTCTTTTTTTTATCTCTCTAGAGAAAGTTACACTGCGCAGTTTTCACCACCCTCTGCAGCGCCTTCCGGTCGGAGACAGAGCAGTTCCCATACCAAACTGTGATGCAGTTGGTGAGGATGCTCTCAATGGTGCAGCGGTAAAAATTGGGCGTCCGTACTCTACTCTGACTCTACTGAACAATGGGACTTTTCTGCCTTTTATACTCATTACCAAAACAAACTCGAATGAAAGAAGGGAATGGCCATTTCCCCTCTTCCTGACGGGTTAGCCAATCAGAATGCTACTTCCCTGCCCACGACTTGACCATGAGCTCAGAGCATGATCAATTAGCATACAGTACTTAGTCTCCTGTATCAATTAGCATACAATACTCAGTCTTCTGTTGTCCATGATTCAATCAACATACATCACTCAACTTCCGGTTGTGCTTAAAATGTGTTGAAAATGTATAAATTGAGCATGAAACATACAATTTATCAAAGAACATAGAAAATTCTTATATTACTTGGGTCAACCAGGGAGAAGAAGAAAAACAAACATCTATATTGCAGGGCTAGGCCTCCAAGGTGATGACCTCAAATAAACTCCATTCATAATTCATTTGACAACTTTATTCTGCTTCACTTCAGCTCATTCATAATAAACCTAAAAACATGGGTAACAAAAACCAAACAAAATTTGGTAATTAGCGATATCCTTAATATTTCTTTACTGTTTTTGTTGCTTAGTAAATAAAAAACAAAAAAGCTTATGAATAAAAACAAAAAAAGATGACATTTTGCATTCATTGCTCTTTTGATACTAAATGTTGCTATTTTGAAATAATAAATGAGTCAATGTGATTGAAATGTGAAATATTTTACAGACATTTGCTCCGTTTTAATAAATGCTGAAACATCTTAGTGGATGACTGCTGAAATGAGTAAAACATTTACTCTGTGCTTACGACACCACACTTTCTGATTGGCTACCTGTAACAGTCAACAGGCTGCGTTCTCATTCCCAGTGACTGGCTACGATAAAAGGGCCAAGACAATGTTGACTATCCCCGATTTTATGTCGGAGTTGTCCCAACACAACACAGAATAGGTCAGAACATTCTAAGATTGTCATAAGAGGAAAATGATGGCAGGAAATGGAAAATTGTGTCATGTGACACTCCCTCCAAACTGCCCTCTCCATCCCCAGTTTAATTGGCCCGAAGAGTCACTTAAAATCGTAGTTTACTAAGATGTGTTTGTGAACAAACAGAGCTAAAACTCAAAGATTTAACTGACAGCACCAGATTGTGGTTGAGGTAACAAAACAGTCTAATTATAAATATTGTTCTTTGAACTCTTACTAAGTAAACATGCCAGCTTTGTATCTTCAGGCCAGTTCTAAATGTGATCAGCATTATATTGTGCTCTTGGATCGACGACATGACTTAATTTGGATTTAACAGAATTGCAAATCACTGACATTTTTTTTAATTGTTTTTTTTTTTTTTTGGATTCTATAGTTTTGGGTTTAAGTATTGTCTTCAAGTAACTCAATTACACAGTAATATCTTATGTTTCCTGTCAACAGCTATGGTGCCCCAACCCCTAGTCTTAGAACGTTTTCTGAAGACAAACCCTGCACATGCCATGCAATGTTGCAGTTTCTCACATTCTGTTGTGTGTAGGTTGGAAGGTCTGTAAAATAGTATAGTTGTATCTTTGGCAGATGATGAATTGCTGCATATTTGTTGGCTCCATGTTGATGATACAAATATTCCACCTCACAGCATCCCAAATGTTCTTTAAAGGATTGAGATTTACTGACTTGGAGTGTTACGGGCACAAAGGCCATCAAAGAAGAATGAGTGGATACAACACCAGTAACCATTTGAAGCACTTTAGAGGCCTTTATTTTTAAAACACAAATCAAGAGTATGTGGGCACCATCCCAGACATGTAGACAGAAGCCCAGGCATGTTGGCATATACCTGGAACCACTGAACTGACATGTGCACGCCTCCTTCTGGCCCTCTGTCGTGTGCAGTTTTTCTTCAAACATGGACCCATTGGCCCCTTCAGGTGTAGGCAACTCCTCCAAGGTGTGGACCTCCTTCAAGTGTGGGTGAGTGGCTCCTCTCCAAGTATTGAGCCAGAACCTTCCATGCCTGTGTGTCTGTCTCAAATCTCCACTTGTCTCACACTGCTCACTCGTTGGCCATGTGGAACAGAAGCCCTTGGGTCAAATAGACCAAAGTCCCCATGTGACTTTAGGACCCTCACATTCTGGTACCTTAATGGAAGCACAATTAGCAGTCACAGGAGGGCATTGGAGTACAGTGAATTCATTGTCATTTTTATCAGTGAAGAAGATTACTGACTTTTTATAGGAGAAACTTCCGTCAAAACCGTACTTGGGATAACTGTCTGTGTCCTAGAAATACCTGATTCCTTTGGTAGCCCTTCATTGAAAACCTTGAATCGCTCTTAGTCTGATCCCTCCCCAATGGCAGCCTGCCCTGGGAAGCCTCACTATTGGCTGAACCCCAAGACAAAATCTCCATCTGGGTCATGGGGATACTCAAACCCCTCCACCACGTTAAGGTGGCGATTCTGCGGAGGGGTCACACCAGATCGCGATGGATGTTTAATCCAAGGGATCCCCCATCCTGAGCAAGCACAAGGCAACAGTGGAGAGGAAAACTCCCTTTAAAAGGAAGAAACCTCCAGCAGAACCAGGCTCAGGATGAGCAGCCATCTGCCGAGGCTGGCTGGCTTCAAGAGGGCAAAAATAAAAAACACACAAACACAAAACTGTCAACAAACCTTCTGAAAGAAAGACAGATTCAATTACAATATTAGTTTACAATACACATGTTACAAAAGGTAGATCTGGGAAAGTCTATACAATAGATATTAACAGAAAATAGTCTGAACCTGTAGCAGTAAACTACCTCTCACTGGAATCAGTCCCAAAAGAATAACATGAAACAAAGTTAAACTTCAATATTTGTGAAAGAACTTAAAGAATTGTGTTAGTGCATCATTATCTACAAAATCATGTTGCTGTATTCCCATATCCTGGACAGACAATCTTTAATTTGATTAAGAGTATAAGTTTGTGTTTGAATATGTTAATGTTATCATAAAGTTTATGTCGTTATGTTGTCAACCATGCAGCACATACTCACAGCTGAGGAGATTTTGGGCAGACCAATTAACCGAACAGCTAAAGTTTTATTGTGGGAGGAAGCCGGAGCACCCAGAGAGACCCACAAATCCTACTTTTATTATTTCTGTGGGAGGAAGCCGGAGCACCCAGAGAGAACCCACAAATCCTACTTTTATTATTTCTGTGGGAGGAAGCCGGAGCACCCAGAGAGAACCCACAAATCCTACTTTTATTATTTCTGTGGGAGGAAGCCGGAGCTTCCAGAGAGAACCCACACGTGCCAATTTTAAAATGTCTGAGGGAGGAAGCCGGAGCACCCGGAGAAAACCCACAAATCCCACTTTTATTACGTCTGAACCTCTTTCTGAAAGGTAACAGTGCTACTAACTGTGCCATTGTGCTACTTACGGTTGACTGTGAGGACTTTTTGTGAGGAATTAAAATTAATTGTGTAAACATATACAAAAGAGATATATCAAAGGGTAAAAAAATAGTTTTCTCCATATGTCATCCATTTCTCCTCGTCATTTTGCAATTTCTCCATGCACTCTAAAGTTATAGAGGCAGGTGTAGTCCGGATGACCCCAGTTGCTGTTCACCTTTAGAGTCACATGACGGAAGGAACCAACTTTATCGGCCTGTAAGCAAGAGAGATATAAATTAGGGAGGTTAGATTGATAATCCATAGTTGCAAATAGATGATAGAAACAAAGGAGGTCTGTCTGATGGAAGCCTAGTTCAACTTTCCTTGCTGTAAATACATTTTGCATAGTTTATCTCAAGATAGCGAGGTAATTATACTGATATCTTGCTAACCAGAAAACAAAATGTTTTGTAGTAACACTGGGATTTTGTTGTTTGTTATACAGAGACAATAAAAATTATTGTTTTGTGAAAAGTGTTATGACTTTTTTACATTTTTATTTATTTGTTAAGTACAATTTGCATTTTAAGTGACTTCCTTACAATTGTATGTTGAGCATAATTTACGTGATGATTATTATTTATTTAAATTAACATGATTGTAAATAATTACAAAAGCTACAGTGAAATATATTTAAGTGCGAGGCATGATTTATTTGAATAGAGGAAGTCTTTTATTTTGAAGAATGCTAAACCGGATGTGGTTCTGTATTTCGTCACTGTCTTGCTTCTGTTGATTTTGGTTGCTAGGTAACAAACAGCTGTGATCAGCTGTCACTGTTTTCTCCTCAATAAAAACTGAACAGAAATGTTCAGTAAAAGAAATCCGAGTCTCCGTGTTGATTGAAGAATCTCCCACATCTTAATAATAAGAGGTTGACTTTTTGTATTTTGTTACCGTGATGTAATAAAAGTTTCAACGAGATTTATGCCAAGACAACAATATTTTCCTCCTTAATAGATGGCCAAATAAATCTACAGTTTTTTCCATTTGTTCAAGTTAAACACTTTGTATCTCTGTGTTTTGGAATAGTTATGGTTCAATAACAAAGCTTAATGTGGCTGCATTACATTTAGGCACTATTTCTAGACAACTTAACTAATTGATTAATTTTTCAATGCTTTTTATCAGTTACCACTACTCTAAAAGTGCAAGATTAACATACATTTTTATGGTTTAAGTAGAGTTTTTCATTGAAGCCTTTTGAATGAAACAATAATACGGTACTTTATTCAAAGTATGTTTTTAAATTGAATGCTAGTAATACCCAGTGAAGAACCTTATGATTGTATGTTAGAATATATGATCATCATTTCAATATATCAATATTTATAACAGGGTAGGTAAGTCTGGTCTTCTGAGAGAACTGTATTTGGTTAATAAAACATTAATTTGACATATTTACAGGAAGTTTGAAGGTCTGTATTTGGTCTCCATCTTCATCGTATTGGAAAGTTCCCAAATGAGTTTCCTCATCTTCTAAATTCTTCTTTCCCTGAGACAAAATTAGATAAAAATTCAGTTCATTATCTTGTTCTTTCAACATATGTGAAAGTTAGTCGGTGTATCAGAAAACATATCACATCCTGAGATAAACAGAAAATTCATTAGTGCAGACAGAAAGTTTGCATGGTTTAGAATGAGATCAAGCAATGTCATATGGAATCAATGCTATCACCTTTTGAATGTATACTTAATATATACTATACGTGGCTATATCTATATTACACTTTTGACACTCATTTTATTTGACTTACATATACAGAAAATTCTTTGGGAGCACTAGAGACAGAGGACGTTGGGGACACAGTCTTAGCAATGTGACCCAGGGACACATGTCTGATGGTGGCTGGGTGTGAAAGTGAGACGCCCAAACGTCCCTGGAAACCTGGAAAGGCCCAGCATTTTCCAGGTTGCAGACGATTTTTTCCCTGAAAACAGAGAACAAAATTTAAGTGGGGTACCAAGACTAAGAGAAAAGTAAATCATAAAGCCTAATAATATATCACCAAGAAACACCACTTTTATTTTTTTAATGATCTGATCATCATTCAAACCTTAATAACAATGCCTGGGCCAATAGGAGGTCTCTTGAACAATTTCCCAAACCTTCCAACTTCTTTATTGATGTCATAAGCCTCTGAGGTCATCTTGTGTAAAATATTTGCTCCTGTACACAAAACACAAAAACAGAAATAATGTGAGTTAGAAAATTTTAATACTGAAATTTGAAATCTAGTTGATGATCTTATTTGTAATGGCTCGCCTTGAGACTCCAGAGCAAAGTTGGGCCACAGGTCTGCTTGTGGCAGAAGGTAGTCAACCTTCTGCTCCAAGAGCTCCAGGTTGGAGAGATGTCTTTGATCCTTGCGTCCAAAGATCGTAACCTGTGCACAACATAAAAATTAACAGCTTGTTCTCATGTTTGATCATGATAATTAAATCAGTGTTAAGATTAGGAAGAGAAAGCCTACCATGTCTGTTAGAGTTGTGAGAGACAACTGTGAAGATCGTGAGTGGAAGGAAATAATACAGCAAATACATCCTGATGAACATGAGCAGAAGACAACAGTGAGAAAAAATTTAAAAATACAGACTTTCTGTGACACTTCCAAATTGACTGTTTGTAGGAGATTATTTACCAAAAGTGACGAAGATGAGAAAGACAAAGACTGATATATCAAAACCACCCTGCAACAGAGTCATCATCATCTGTCTTTCTCTGTCAATCACATTGTCACCAGAATAATGTGACCTCTCTCTAAATGTGACTGCAGGGTGGTTTTCAGGACGACCTGTTAAGCGCCTCCTTATGGCCCTAGATGAAAAATATACAAGTGAGTTAAAATGTACACTGATCCGCAGATGACTGCATAAAACATATGACTTAATGAAAATTGCTGATTTGATCTACCTGATTGGCGCCTCCCTGTATGAAATAACAGGTTGTCCATCCATATCATAGTATCCGTTGTTTCTCAAACGTTCACTTCTTCTAAGCATGACTGTAAAAAACCAAAGACATGCAAAAGTGGTACATTTTGGTGCAAAGCATGTCCAAAATGTACCAACACAACTCTACAGTAAAAGTCATTTTCCTCGTAAACACTGTAAATTTAAAGATGTAATATATCAAAAACTTCATTTAATGTTGATCAGAACATCATTTAGTTACCTATCAAATCAAATTAATCATTTCATGTGTGAAAATCACCAACCATCCATAAAAATTAAAGAAAAACATTATTTTGCATGTAGAACTCCTTAATATTTTTCTGCTGTTTCAATACTCAGTGAAGTTCGCGTAAATAAAAAAAAGGTACTAAAACACAAATGAGACGTTTAATGTTTACATCAAAAAGTTACTCAAATTAAACAATTTGATGTTGAGCTAAAAAAAACTGATTACTAACAACTTGTCTTGCTCAACTTTTTTTCAACATTGCTGCACACTTCCTTCAAAAAACTGGCACAAAATGTCATTTTTTTCTTTGCTTCACTAATTTCTAAATAAATACTTACTCGAAAAACTGAAGCTCAGTTCAATTTCTTGAATTTTTTGAAGTAATCTATCCGACGTCTAACTCTTCAAATGGATGAATTCCTGTAGGAACTCGGCTCTTATTGACAAAAGTTCCAAAAGCGCCTGATGACAAGTCAGCTTATGTGACATCAGAATGCTCCACAGAACCTGCCCACAATTCATTTCTGCCTCTTTTAAATTCATTTAAAGCATTTTAAAAATTAAGGTACGAAAAAAAATTATCTTGTTAAATTAGTCAATCAAATCACTGCTCTAAACAAAATCAAGAAATGTTTACTTCCCTACTGGCATTTACATGCAGTTATTGCACAGTTTTTTAGACATGTTTGATAAAAACATTTCCGTTATTACTGCAGAGCGCTTTCTCTACACCGACACACTGGATTGTACATTTCCTGTTATATATTTACAGTTCAATATGCACGTTATGTACATTTTGACAAAGTTGTGCTACTTAGTTGCACATTATCAAAAAGTTTCTGCTATTCTTGTTATTGTTAGTCCTGTTTTCATATGCACTTCAAAGTTTAGGAACTATTGTGTGAACTTGTATCTAAATGCAGCTATAAAACTGAATAAATGTAACCCCAACTTTCTATATTTGTGTATGCATGATGGAGAAAGGGGAACTATTACATTGCTTATGGCAATGCAAAAACCAGGGCTTTTTGGGAGGAGGTTAAGAAAATAAGAATTATTTAAAAAGATATTTCAATGGATCCTGCTCAATTAAGAGAGAGACAGGACAAACAGCCATGCACAGGACAATCCATGACAAACACAGAAGTCCAGCAACAGTTCACCACTGGAGTTTAGATCAGCAGGGCCATTCCTCCCAACCACATCCCTCCATGTCTCACTGACATTGCCCCGTTGCAGACCCCAGTAGAACAAATGAATACCCCTGAGAGGCACACTCCAGTACCCCGTACCAAAAAGGGTGGGTAATCTGAACTGTTGTTTGGCCCATAAGGACAGACAACGGTCAGAACCCTGAACCTCATGCACTCCAGTGTGCATGAGGAGCACACTGGAGCCCCTGATGAGTGTGCACACATGCATGTGCATGAGGGGCACATGCATACTGGAGCATGATGAGTGTGCCACCCTTTCTGGAGTGCCTGCACGTTGGGGTAAACGCCAACGTGCAGGCACCAAGATGGGGACACATAACTGCATGATGGGCACACTGGAGCCCCTCATGCACACTGGAGCATGAGTGTGCATGAGGTGCACACTCATGCACATGCATGCTCCGGCACATGCACACTGGAGGCATGAGTGCCTGTGTCTGTGTGTGTGGACCTTTTGTACTGAAGAATCTCAGAGTGTCTCCTGGGAACCAGAAGAACCGGGTTCAGGGTCCTCATTGTAAATAGGAGGACCCCGCATGCAGTCCAGTGTTCACGCGGGGCACACTCATGCACAGCATGCCCCTCATGCATGTTCATGAGGGGCACCTGCAGTCCTGTGTGCACAAGGGGCACACAGGAAGCACTTTTTCTTCCAGTGTGCATGAGTGTGCCACAAGAGAGGGAGGAAGTTGGGGAAACAATATTGGGAATGTAACCCAGGGATACATGAATGATGGCAGCTTTGTGGGACAGTGCGATGGCTAAAACATCCTGGGAAATCTACAAAGGCCCAATAATGTCCTGGATTCAGAAGAGTTCTTCCCTAAAAACAAAACAAAGTTTTAGGTGGGGTACCAAGACTAAGAGAAAAGAAAATCATAAAGCCTAATGTTATATCTACAAGAAACACCACTTTTCCTAATATTTTTTTAATGATCTGATTATCATTCAGACCTTAAGGAGCAGAAAGAGAGAGAGAACAGTAAGCAAGAGCGAGAGAAGGGATAGCACAGGAGGAGCCGTTGTTTTAAGAAGTTTCTAGAAGTGAGTAAAACTTGTCTTCAAGAGAAGTTATGCAAGCTACCAGTACATAGTCAAGTTTTGGCTAGAAACTGTCTAACTGTGTGTTAGTTTTCTTGGTTGTATATTCACTCTAAAGTTAGAGCAAAGCTGTTGCTACAAAGGACTTTTGTAAGCAGCTGTGACTGTTAGAGTAGCACTTAAAACGTTACAGAAGGTCGTTACCGGACTGGTTAACGAGGACCTTGACTCCAGATAGTCACTCTGAGTGCCCGTGTCGCTCAGAGTACCTCTGGCACCGAGGGAAAGGAGAGCCGTCGATGTGGAGAGCACATGAAGGCCACACAACTGCTTTTTCCCTGAGCTACTGTTTTTGGATGGTTTAGAGGGCTCGCTGGACACTGGGTGAAGTATCGCTTGGATTTGTTGGACAACAAGGTACTGAGTTGACAGTCAATATCTGGACTGTTGAGTCGGAGGGAATCCTGATTCCTGAGCATCTTAACAGGCCTGCAAAGTAGATAGTATTTGCTGCCATATTATCTTAGTTTACAATACTGGGTTATATAACTAGTGTTTACCCTGTATGAATTTACTGTTCTGTGGGAATAATGTTTATTTTTTCTGGTTTGTCTAAACCCTAAACCTGTCATTTCCTTATTTTATTATTATTTTTGCCTAATTAAAGGAAGGTTATTATAAACCATTTTGCTTGGTATGTAGTACAACTCACTTTAGCAGAGTTCAGGGCTGATCGAACCAAAATACTATAGAGAAAATAAGAGAGTATACAGAAACATAGAATCCAAACCCCACTTATTTCCGGAAGCGTGTAAGTGAGGACTACATCTGTCCAGTTCCTAAAACAGAGAAAAATAGACCCTAAAAGTTTTGTCACATCAGAAACTGTGTATTCCCTGAACTTCTGACTGTCTGCCAACATCTATCTCACGAGATACAATGAGGGGATTCAGCCCTTCTTCACAAAAAGGTTTAAAGTACACTTGGTTAGTAACATCTTTTTTTCTACATATCCACACCTGGATGAGTTATTCCTCAAATGTTGGACAATAAACCACACTTCAGGTATAGAACTGCTTGTTATACTCTGTCTGGATGAACTCAATGGCAGGTTTTTCCAGAAGATATACGAAATGAAAATGTCACAAAGTTTGAATGCAACTCAGCTGAATTACGTAAAAAATGACTTTTGACTCTAGAGGGACTTTAGACGGATGAGGTTAAAGCAGGACCTGAGCAGTGCTTTTCCGTATTTCCAGGGTGACATTGTTGACAACTTATTTAGCTTCCCTGAATACTGTGAAGCTAGTAAGTTTAAAAGGCAGAGCACCAAATAAATAATTTTATACTCTTGCATTGTATTGCTATAGATCAATAAACTTCAATATCATAGTTGTGTTTATCAAACACATCTGTGTGCAAAACTCTTTCCACAATTCCTCAAACTTACTTATTGTCTTACTGTTTTACCACCTCTTCTGCTTTTGTGTCTTCAGTGTGGTTTTGGTCACTGAAGAACACATTTAACATGTCTTCCCGTTCTTGGTGCTTTCTTGTACTGATGTGATTCAAAACATGTATTCTGTGAACAATTACATCCTACTTGGAGGATCTCTGACATTTCTTCTTGTATTTTGCAATTGTTGTCCAACAATTGGTCTGATTTGGCTATGAAAAATTTTTGCTAATGGCAATTATTAACAAAGTTAGTAATTTATATTAAAATTACATAGTCAGGGTACAACCTGATTATTAATAAACAATAGCCACATAGTCCCCATTATGGAACGAGGCAATGAAAATGGCTTGGTGTTAAAATAAAAATAAATAAATTCATGTTTCAGAACAGCAAAACTACACATGTATGTAACAACTCTGATATCCAGCATCACTGCAATGCATGTTTTAGATGAGTCTCCATTCCTGCAGACCTGATTGGGAGTTAATTCAAATTCCTGGTATTTGGTTTCCAACCCCAAATTCCTGGGAATTTGGGGTTGAGATACTAGCAGTAAAAAAAAAGTTGAGATACTAGCAGTAAAAACTAGACCAAAATTATTTGGTAGGATTTTGTGTTTGCAGTTTAGGCATTTGAACCCTGTAAGTCTCGATTTAGGAGTTAATGTAACTATTTTTCCCACCAAGACAACAAATAATACTATTGCAGACACAACATTCAAATGTAGAAATCTATGGTCTGTCCAGGGCAAATCAGTTAAAATTAGGCTTAAACTACTCTGGCCAATCAAAATCGTTTTGTTTTTATGTGTTTTACAGGAAACATGCTCAATCTGGACTGGTCTTTCACTACTCCAAGAAGCGTAACGGGAATGAAAGGATCATGTATCATCATTCCTTGCAAGTTTTCCTACAGCAAAGCCCAACCGAGTGGCCTCCAAGTTGTCTGGTACTTGTACCAAAGTAATGGACGCGCAGACGTATTCAACCAAAGACAATCAAATATTTTAAGCAGATATAATGGGATAACACATTTGACTGGCTCTGTCAGACCGCAATTGTAGTCTTAAAATAGACCGGCTGGATATGTCTCACAATGAGGATAAACTCTATCCATGGGTTGATATCAACCCAATTACCTCCTACCACTCACAGGGACATTCGTTTTTGGATAGAAGCACCAAAATTATGGTTTCAGGTAAGAACACACACACACACATAATAAATTTCCCTTCTCACCCACCGCGGGTGGTTCTTATCCTCTGAGCTCGGGTCCTCTACCAGAGGCCTGGGAGCTTGAGGGTCCTGCGCAGTATCTTGGCTGTGCCAAGAACTGCACATTTCTTAACTGAGATGTCTGATGTTGTTCCTGGGATCTGTTGTAGCCACTGCTCCAGTTTGGGGGTTACTGCCCCGAGGGCCCCGATGACCACAGGCACCACTGTGGTCTTCACCTTCCAGGCCCTCTCCAGTTCTTCCCTGAGGCCCTGGTATTTCTCCAGTTTCTCGTGCTCCTTTTTCCTGATGTTGCAATCACTTGGTATTGCTACATCTACCACAACGGCTTTCCTCTGTTGTTTATCCACTACGACAATGTCTGGTTGGTTCGCCATTACCATTTTGTCTGTCTGGATCTGGAAGTCCCACAGGATCTTAGCTCTGGTGTTCACCACCTTTGGGGGTGTTTCCCACTTTGATCTCGGGGTTTCCAGTCCATATTCTGCACAGATGTTTCTGTACACTATGCCTGCCACTTGGTTATGTCGTTCCATGTACGCTTTCCCTGCCAGTATCTTGCACCCTGCTGTGATGTGCTGGACTGTCTCAGGGGCCTCCTTGCACAACCTACACCTTGGGTCTTGTCTGGTGTGGTAGATCTGGGCCTCTATTGCTCTGGTGTTTAGGGCCTGTTCCTGGGCGGTCAGGATGAGGGCCTCTGTGCTGTCCTTGAGTCCAGCTTTTTCCAGCCATTGGTAGGATTTACTGATATCAGCCACTTGGGTTATTTGCTGGTGGTACATCCCATGTAGGGGCTTGTCCTCCCATGATGGTATCTCTGGCACTTCAACCTCCGTTCCCTGTTGTCTGAGACATTCACTGAGCACATTATCTGTTGAGGCTTTGTCCCTGATGTATTTATGGATCTTAGTTGTTTCGTCCTGGACAGTGGTTCTCACACTCACTAGTCCTCTGCCTCCTTCCTTGCGGAGGCAGAGGAACAAAGAAGGATTCTATTACAAAAACAAAGAAGGATTATATATATATATATATATATATATATATATATATATATATATATATATATATATATATATATATAATCCTTCTTTGTTCGTCTCAGGTCCAGTTGGTTGACTTCACAACAGACACACTCATTTCTTTTATTTACCAACTCTCAAGAGCAGCATAACAACTTAATGCACAAAATCATGTCTGGGAAAACAACTTCTTGATTAAGCAAAATAAATCTGACAAATATTCATATCTTGTGCAGTTATTCCCATTGCAGCAAGAAACTTGTCTGTCTAGTTAAACTGTTGTTTAGGTTAAAATAATGTATGTTAAACTTTTCCTTTCACTCTTTCACCAGTATTTTAAATATCTACATTTTAGTTGGAATCATCATACATTAACATATTTCTATTTTTATCTATAGACCAGGCACAAGAACCCCAAATGAGCATCATTGATGTTCCTAAGGTGGGAGCTCAAAGCAGGGTTACCTGTAAAGTGAAATATACATGTTCTTCTGCTCCTCCTGCCCTGTCTCTGAATGGCATTCCTGGAACAGACCGCACCATTGACTCCTTGTTGTCAGACGGCATTTGGGAAAGAACAATAGAACGAACTTGGAATGTAGAAGAAGACCACAAGAAGGTGGAGTGCACTGTGAGATATCCTGGTGGACAAAGTGCCAAAAGTGAGCTCCTCCTGCATGTTGAATGTGAGTATAAATATACATGCTGTGGTTTAAATTGATGAGATTTTTAAGTTTTCTTCACAAGTAAAGTTTAATTTTTTGCTTAGGCCCATTTGAAACAATCAAAATGGTTGAACCTCCAGGAGAGCTAATAGAAGGAGTGGCAAAGAGTGTAATTTGTTCTGTGTCCTACAAATGCAAGACAAATACACCAACAATTGAGTGGAACTTTTCAGACATGCTGCATTTACAAAAGCTCAAAAAAATATCCAGTAATACGTATACCACTGAGTCCAATCTTACGTTTATTGGTTCCCTTGAAGACAATGGAAACCTTTGACCTGCATTGCACATTTTCTGACTGGAGAAACATCAAACTCCTCACTTCTTCAGATAAAAAGTGAATTTTTACATCTAACACACATTGTTTACCACTATAGTTCAAATTAAAATTAGAACTCAGAATTGAAGTTAAAATTTTCAGTGTTTAAATCTGCAGAGCAATACTTGAGACACCAGACGCCTGGAAGATTTACAGTTTCAAAATGTTGGCCAGTAAACAATGACTGCTTTCTTTAATCCAGTTAAACTTATAGCTTTCACTTGGGTTTATTGCTTAGCTACTAATCAAAAATAAATTCATTTATTTATTCATTTTTACAGAATACGTACAGGTTAAAGAAGAACTGAACGAGAAAGATAGTGAGCTCACCTTTCTTTTTCCTTACACCAGACAACTTGCATAAGACACTGATTTCCTGCTTATTTTTCTCTCTTTTTGTGCATTATTTCAGATTTAAGGCTATCAGTTTTGTGTATCTGTATAATTTTCATGTCTTTTGTATTAAATGTCCTGTATTTTCTGACAGCACCTTTCTAAGTTTAACTGGTCCTCTCGCCCCCCCAACAGCTTTCCGCGTCCTGGCTGCTGACGTCCCTCGCAGATTCAATGCCTTGACTCGGTCCTGTGTGGTCATCCCCTGCAGTTTCCAGGATGACGAGGATCAGCCCCTGACTCGTGGCATCTGGTACAAAAAAACTGGGGGTCTGGTGTACCACAATGCCCGCAGTGATGTTTTGGACCAGTTCAAGGACCGGACCAAAATTCTGGGAAACCTGGATGAAGGAGACTGCTCTTTGGAGATTGACGACATAAAACCCTTTGACAACGGCCCTTTCTGTTTCTATGGAGAGAAAGGAACAAACAAATACAGATTTAACAACAGCTGCGTTTTTATCGTCATGAAAGGTCAAGAATCCTTACTAATGTTTTACATCATTCGCATGCTGTTTGTGATAAATTTTCTTCCAATCTGAGCAATAGCAAACGTCTTTGTCTTTAATCCTCAGCTTCTCCAGAGAAACCAGTGATGAGTTTAGTTCCAGCTCAAGTGAATGCTGGTTCAACTGTAAATGTCTCCTGTTCTGTCAGTCACTCATGCTCATCACATCCTCCAAAGTTTTCATGGAGTGTCCCTTACGTCAACAACGAGGTTTCAGACACTGAGATGTCACGAGGTGTCTGGAAGACGACGTCCACCATCACGTTTGTGGTTGCTGGAGGAGATGGACAGAGAAACCTGAACTGTACCGCCATCTTCTGGCGTGGAAAGAATGAAACCAGGACTTTCAAATTAATTGTAGAGGGTTAGACTCAACAAATCATTTTTCTTATCAAAGCATTGGACACAGGAAACTGAGAGATTTTCTCATTATGATTATTTTATATCTCCATCTCCAGGAACTACGGCGTACCAGATGCAGAAAGCTATCCCTGTGGTGATTCCTGTTGTCATCTTAGTGCTGATCCTCTTTGCTGTGCTGCTTGGCATATTCTTCTACAGGAAAAGGTGAGTAAACCTCTCAAAATCGACTAATATATGCTTTTGCGTGTATTGCGCTGATGTCTTTTTGCCTTCAAAAATGAGGCCAATTAAAGAAAATGAAGCTGACCTAAAGAAATTACAATTTTCTCATTACCAGAAAGCACACCGATTGCCCAGAGAAAAGGCAAGAATTTTACTCCAAGAACTTTTAAGTGCTGTGCTAATTTAGCACTTTTGCTCTCTGTTTTGATATGAGTTGTTAGGGGTAATGTAAGGTAAGGTAAGGTAAAGTAAGGTAAGGTAAGGTAAGGTAAGGTAAGGTAAGGTAAGGTAAGGTAAGGTAAGGTAAGGTAAGTAAGGTAAGGTAAGGTAAGGTAAGGTAAGGTAAGGTAAGGTAAGGTAAGGTAAGGTAAGGTAAGGTAAGGTAAAGTAAGGTAAGGTAAGGTAAGGTAAGGTAAGGTAAGGTAAGGTAAGGTAAGGTAAGGTAAGGTAAGGTAAGGTAAGGTAAGGTAAGGTAAAGTAAGGTAAGGTAAGGTAAGGTAAGGTAAGGTAAGGTAAGGTAAGGTAAGGGTTGTTTTAAATCCAATTTGCTGTTCAAGGACAAAATTAAGAGACATGTCTTGCCTCTCAATCTAAACATCTTGATTCAAATATTATAGATATTAATGAGTATTATTAAATATTATTCGCTAATACTAATTAACAACAATGATCTTACATGCTTGGAATTAGAAATTTATACAGCTCTACTTTACACTCATATTCACTCTCAAATGTAACACTGTGTCACTGATAAATGGATGTTTACATCCTTGTTCTTCCATAGGGATGTAAACATCCCCCATACACCAAAGATCTCTTTGGGGTAGATTAACCAGGTGAATTAAACGTTTTGCTCAGTTTCTTTTTGTTTTTGCACAAGCAAATAGTAAATCCAAAACCATTTTAATACCTATAGGACTTACTTTGAGGGAGATAGAGAGAAACCTCCAAGGCCAGAAAAAAGGTGCACAACCAAAAAGCTTTTTTTGAAACTGCAGTTGATCACATACTAAAAATTAACAAATGTTTCTGTGCAGGAATTCAGTTTGGAGAAGGTTTTCTCGGTAAGATCAACAAAAAGCAAATTCTGCCCTTTTAATCCTCAGTTCTGATGTTTGCAACACTATTATTTTCAGACAATCAGAGGACGGTCAAGTCGGCTGGCAGATCACCAGGTAGGAACATTTTCTGTTGTTAAATCTCCTCATTGTCAATGTTAAAGTTGCTACTACTTGAATGTTTCTTTTACAGAAACTCTTTCTGGAATAGATTTTCAAGGTAATAATTTTATGTTTATTACAAACAAGAATATCAGACATTAAGTGATTAAAAAATTAAAAGTAGACTAAGAACAACGTGTATAATTGTTGCAGACGCCCAAACAACTCGACTGACCTCAGAGTCAGTTATTTGTAAGTTTTCAGCCGTGGTTTCAAAAATATTTTATAATGAGCAGAAATGCTGAAAATGTGATATTGTGAAATATGTTTTTGCTCCTAGAAATAATGCAGAAGTGTTCGTCTGTGAGAAAAAGTCAACAAGCAGTATTATCCATCACCAAAGAAGTGAGGAGAACAACTCTATATTTCAGGCTTCAAAAGACTGCTGCGATTATTGTGGTTCTTTATTAATTATCTTGTTTCGCTCATCCAGTAACCAAAGACGAAATGCGCCGCCCACACCAGAGGTCAGTTGCATTGTTCATTGAATTTTACCATTTACAGCTGTTGAGAGGATGTTTCAGTCAATTTTTCTTGATACACATTAAAAATAACTATTTTCCCTGATGATCAACTTTCCAGTCTAAACTCTTAATCTCTGAGCTTTTATTGTTTATGAAACGATGATCTCTTATTAGATCAAACTTCAACATTTTTGATAATATTCGTCAAAAGCCTTTGGTTTTACAAGAACATATTTCCTGTACGGTTCATAGAGTACAATACAAGCACATAAAGTTTATTAAGCAATAACGAACCAATTAAATATTTTTTCTTTACAGGATGTTAACCTGTACGGCAACATTTGAGTAAACAGTCTGAGGATCGATTTGGATGCGCTTGCTCTTCTTCTGCTGCCAAGTTTCAGTTTATAGTTCACATTCATAATCATGTTATTCTCGCTTCCTCTGCTTTTCATTTCAATTGTAGACCTTTACTTTTCATTTCAGGAAGAAATAAACAGTAATGAATCATTAATGCCTCATTTCTCTATTCTCTGCCATGAAGAGAATCACACATTAAAAATAACTATTTTCCAGTTGAAACTCTTAATCTCTGAGCTTTTATTGTTTATGAACGATGATCTCTTATTAGACCAAACTTCAACATTTTTGATAATATTCGTCAAAAGCCTTTGGTTTTACAAGAACATATTTCCTGTACGGTTCATAGAGTACAATACAAGCACATAAAGTTTATTAAGCAATAACGAGCCAATTAAATATTTTTTCTTTACAGGATGTTAACCTGTATGGCAACATTTGAGTAAACAGTCTGAGGATCGATTTGGATGCGCTTGCTCTTCTTCTGCTGCCAAGTTTCTGTTTATAGTTCACATTCATAATCATGTTATTCTCACTTCCTCTGCTTTTCATTTCAATTGTAGACCTTTACTTTTCATTTCAGGAAGAAATAAACAGTAATGAACCACTAATGCCTCATTTCTCTAATCTCTGCCATGAAGAGAATACATGGCAGAGTATTCTCTTCATGTGGATAAAGGAGTGTCACACAAGATGGATTATGATATATATATGTGTGTGTGTGTGTGTGTGTTCCCTTTTAAATAACATGAATAATATCACATTGTATGTTTTTTTCCTCAAAAAATTCTTGAATATTACAAATGAAAATAAATCCTTTTATTTGGCAACTGAATGAGGAATGTTTGTTCATTTAATTTCTGCTTTTACTCTTAAAGTTGTATTATTTTAGATAATGTCAATCCACTTTTCAACGTATGAAAAAAAGACAAACAGATTGAGATTTATTCCACAACAGAAATATTGAAAATAACTTGCAATAGACAGCTTTGTGTTGATGTATGTTTGTGGATCTTCTAAGATAACAAGACCAGAAACATCAGCGACACAAACAACAGCAGCAGGCCAGCACTTGCACCGCTGGCGCTGTTGCGCTGATTTTCCAGGCCCTTTTCAGACACCGCTTCCTGTAGATGTCATTGATGGCAGGGAGCGATGCCCCGGCGATGTGCTGGTGTAACAGAGAGCAAAGTGTGTATAATATGTCTGTGAATTTTGCCCAAAATAATGAAGGTTGTGTTTGTTTTTGATGAGATTTTTGAGTAACGCCATGTTTTGGAGCCACCTAGTGGTATGATCACGCACTGCATGCGACGGGTCCTTCAGGCGCTCTCGCGGTTTCCCCCACCAGAATTCTGCGGAGTGCTGGTGGAGGCGCAGCTCTTCATTATTTTTTTTACTTGGGGTCATATTTTTCTGGTTCAGTACTTAACAAAATACTATAATAACAACTGACATTCATAAATATAAATTATGACGTTTTGTCGTGGTTGGGCTGGAAAAATATGGCCCTATGTGTGAGAGCTGCGTCAGTTGGTGTTGCTGGCTGACCAAACAGTCATGACGCTAACTATATCTGTTGTTTTTCAGCTGAGGGACCACTCGCAGGCAGTCACGTCTTGAAGATTTGTCTTTTTTTATCACTCTAGGTGGGTTTCTGGTTATAAAAACATATGTATACATGTATAAAAATATATATATAGAAATGTTTTCCAAAAGTTATAACTGTTAACTGTTGGCTGCGATGGCAGTTATTTTACTGTTGGTTTTGTTGAAGTTATTTTGAAATGAGAATGTTTTGTTTTGATTTTAAGAAATTGTTAACTGTTCGATTTAACCTATACGATCACACACACACACACACACACACACACACAAAATGTAATAAAGAATTCTGCGGAGTGCTGGTGGAGCTGAGGACCACTCGCAGGCAGTCACGTCTTGAAGATTTGTCTTTTTTTTATCTCTCTAGAGAAAGTTACACTGCGCAGTTTTCACCACCCTCTGCAGCGCCTTCCGGTCGGAGACAGAGCAGTTCCCATACCAAACTGTGATGCAGTTGGTGAGGATGCTCTCAATGGTGCAGCGGTAAAAATTGGGCGTCCGTACTCTACTCTGACTCTACTGAACAATGGGACTTTTCTGCCTTTTATACTCATTACCAAAACAAACTCGAATGAAAGAAGGGAATGGCCATTTCCCCTCTTCCTGACGGGTTAGCCAATCAGAATGCTACTTCCCTGCCCACGACTTGACCATGAGCTCAGAGCATGATCAATTAGCATACAGTACTTAGTCTCCTGTATCAATTAGCATACAATACTCAGTCTTCTGTTGTCCATGATTCAATCAACATACATCACTCAACTTCCGGTTGTGCTTAAAATGTGTTGAAAATGTATAAATTGAGCATGAAACATACAATTTATCAAAGAACATAGAAAATTCTTATATTACTTGGGTCAACCAGGGAGAAGAAGAAAACAAACATCTATATTGCAGGGCTAGGCCTCCAAGGTGATGACCTCAAATAAACTCCATTCATAATTCATTTGACAACTTTATTCTGCTTCACTTCAGCTCATTCATAATAAACCTAAAAACATGGGTAACAAAAACCAAACAAAATTTGGTAATTAGCGATATCCTTAATATTTCTTTACTGTTTTTGTTGCTTAGTAAATAAAAAACAAAAAAAGCTTATGAATAAAAACAAAAAAAGATGACATTTTGCATTCATTGCTCTTTTGATACTAAATGTTGCTATTTTGAAATAATTAAATGAGTCAATGTGATTGAAATGTGAAATATTTTACAGACATTTGCTCCGTTTTTAATAAAATGCTGAAACATCTTAGTGGATGACTGCTGAAATGAGTAAAACATTACTCTGTGCTTACGACACCACACTTTCTGATTGGCTACCTGTAACAGTCAACAGGCTGCGTTCTCATTCCCAGTGACTGGCTACGATAAAAGGGCCAAGACAATGTTGACTATCCCCGATTTTATGTCGGAGTTGTCCCAACACAACACAGAATAGGTCAGAACATTCTAAGATTGTCATAAGAGGAAAATGATGGCAGGAAATGGAAAATTGTGTCATGTGACACTCCCTCCAAACTGCCCTCTCCATCCCCAGTTTAATTGGCCGAAGAGTCACTTAAAATCGTAGTTTACTAAGATGTGTTTGTGAACAAACAGAGCTAAAACTCAAAGATTTAACTGACAGCACCAGATTGTGGTTGAGGTAACAAAACAGTCTAATTATAAATATTGTTCTTGAACTCTTACTAAGTAAACATGCCAGCTTTGTCTTCAGGCCAGTTCTAAATGTGATCAGCATTATATTGTGCTCTTGGATCGACGACATGACTTAATTTGGATTTAACAGAATTGCAAATCACTGACATTTTTTTTTAATTGTATTTTTTTTTTTTTTTGGATTCTATAGTTTTGGGTTTAAGTATTGTCTTCAAGTAACTCAATTACACAGTAATATCTTATGTTTCCTGTCAACAGCTATGGTGCCCCAACCCCTAGTCTTAAAACGTTTTCTGAAGACAAACACTGCACATGCCATGCAATGTTGCAGTTTCTCACATTCTGTTGTGTGTAGGTTGGAAGGTCTGTAAAATAGTATAGTTGTATCTTTGGCAGATGATGAATTGCTGCATATTTGTTGGCTCCATGTTGATGATACAAATATTCCACCTCACAGCATCCCAAATGTTCTTTAAAGGATTGAGATTTACTGACTTGGAGTGTTACGGGCACAAAGGCCATCAAAGAAGAATGAGTGGATACAACACCAGTAACCATTTGAAGCACTTTAGAGGCCTTTATTTTTAAAACACAAATCAAGAGTATGTGGCACCATCCCAGACATGTAGACAGAAGCCCAGGCATGTTGGCATATACCTGGAACCACTGAACTGACATGTGCACGCCTCCTTCTGGCCCTCTGTCGTGTGCAGTTTTTCTTCAAACATGGACCCATTGGCCCCTTCAGGTGTAGGCAACTGCTCCAAGGTGTGGACCTCCTTCAAGTGTGGGTGAGTGGCTCCTCTCCAAGTATTGAGCCAGAACCTTCCATGCCTGTGTGTCTGTCTCAAATCTCCACTTGTCTCACACTGCTCACTCGTTGGCCATGTGGAACAGAAGCCCTTGGGTCAAATAGACCAAAGTCCCCATGTGACTTTAGGACCCTCACATTCTGGTACCTAATGGAAGCACAATTAGCAGTCACAGGAGGGCATTGGAGTACAGTGAATTCATTGTCATTTTTATCAGTGAAGAAGATTACTGACTTTTTATAGGAGAAACTTCCGTCAAAACCGTACTTGGGATAACTGTCTGTGTCCTAGAAATACCTGATTCCTTTGGTAGCCCTTCATTGAAAACCTTGAATCGCTCTTAGTCTGATCCCTCCCCAATGGCAGCCTGCCCTGGGAAGCCTCACTATTGGCTGAACCCAAGACAAAAATCCATCTGGGTCATGGGGATACTCAAACCCCTCCACCACGTTAAGGTGGCGATTCTGCGGAGGGGTCACCAGCAGATCGCGATGGATGTTTAATCCAAGGGATCCCCCATCCTGAGCAAGCACAAGGCAACAGTGGAGAGGAAAACTCCCTTTAAAAGGAAGAAACCTCCAGCAGAACCAGGCTCAGGATGAGCAGCCATCTGCCGAGGCTGGCTGGCTTCAAGAGGGCAAAAATAAAAAACACACAAACACAAAACTGTCAACAAACCTTCTGAAAGAAAGACAGATTCAATTACAATATTAGTTTACAATACACATGTTACAAAAGGTAGATCTGGGAAAGTCTATACAATAGATATTAACAGAAAATAGTCTGAACCTGTAGCAGTAAACTACCTCTCACTGGAATCAGTCCCAAAAGAATAACATGAAACAAAGTTAAACTTCAATATTTGTGAAAGAACTTAAAGAATTGTGTTAGTGCATCATTATCTACAAAATCATGTTGCTGTATTCCCATATCCTGGACAGACAATCTTTAATTTGATTAAGAGTATAAGTTTGTGTTTGAATATGTTAATGTTATCATAAAGTTTATGTCGTTATGTTGTCAACCATGCAGCACATACTCACAGCTGAGGAGATTTTGGGCAGACCAATTAACCGAACAGCTAAAGTTTTATTGTGGGAGGAAGCCGGAGCACCCAGAGAGAACCCACAAATCCTACTTTTATTATTTCTGTGGGAGGAAGCCGGAGCACCCAGAGAGAACCCACAAATCCTACTTTTATTATTTCTGTGGGAGGAAGCCGGAGCACCCAGAGAGAACCCACAAATCCTACTTTTATTATTTCTGTGGGAGGAAGCCGGAGCTTCCAGAGAGAACCCACACGTGCCAATTTTAAAATGTCTGAGGGAGGAAGCCGGAGCACCCGGAGAAAACCCACAAATCCCCTTTTATTACGTCTGAACCTCTTTCTGAAAGGTAACAGTGCTACTAACTGTGCCATTGTGCTACTTACGGTTGACTGTGAGGACTTTTTGTGAGGAATTAAAATTAATTGTGTAAAATATACAAAAGATATATCAAAGGGTAAAAAAATAGTTTTCTCCATATCTCATCCATTTCTCCTCGTCATTTTGCAATTTCTCCATGCACTCTAAAGTTATAGAGGCAGGTGTAGTCCGGATGACCCCAGTTGCTGTTCACCTTTAGAGTCACATGACGGAAGGAACCAACTTTATCGGCCTGTAAGTCAAGAGAGATATAAATTAGGGAGGTTAGATTGATAATCCATAGTTGCAAATAGATGATAGAAACAAAGGAGGTCTGTCTGATGGAAGCCTAGTTCAACTTTCCTTGCTGTAAATACATTTTGCATAGTTTATCTCAAGATAGCGAGGTAATTATACTGATATCTTGCTAACCAGAAAACAAAATGTTTGTAGTAACACTGGATTTTGTTGTTTGTTATACAGAGACAATAAAAATTATTGTTTTGTGAAAAGTGTTGTGACTTTTTTACATTTTTATTTATTTGTTAAGTACAATTTGCATTTTAAGTGACTTCCTTACAATTGTATGTTGAGCATAATTTACGTGATGATTATTATTATTTAAATTAACATGATTGTAAATAATTACAAAAGCTACAGTGAAATATATTTAAGTGCGAGCATGATTTATTTGAATAGAGGAAGTCTTTTATTTTGAAGAATGCTAAACCGGATGTGGTTCTGTATTTCGTCACTGTCTTGCTTCTGTTGATTTTGGTTGCTAGGTAACAAACAGCTGTGATCAGCTGTCACTGTTTTCTCCTCAATAAAAACTGAACAGAAATGTTCAGTAAAAGAAATCCGAGTCTCCGTGTTGATTGAAGAATCTCCCTCATCTTAATAATAAGAGGTTGACTTTTTGTATTTTGTTACCGTGATGTAATAAAAGTCTCAATGAGATTTATGCCAAGACAACAATATTTTCCTCCTTAATAGATGGCCAAATAAATCTACAGTTTTTTCCATTTGTTCAAGTTAAACACTTTGTATCTCTGTGTTTTGGAATAGTTATGGTTCAATAACAAAGCTTAATGTGGCTGCATTACATTTAGGCACTATTTCTAGACAACTTAACTAATTGATTAATTTTTCAATGCTTTTTATCAGTTACCACTACTCTAAAAGTGCAAGATTAACATACATTTTTATGGTTTAAGTAGAGTTTTCATTGAAGCCTTTTGAATGAAACAATAATACGGTACTTTATTCAAAGTATGTTTTTAAATTGAATGCTAGTAATACCCAGTGAAGAACCTTATGATTGTATGTTAGAATATATGATCATCATTTCAATATATCAATATTTATAAACAGGGTAGGTAAGTCTGGTCTTCTGAGAGAACTGTATTTGGTTAATAAAACATTAATTGACATATTTACAGGAAGTTTGAAGGTCTGTATTTGGTCTCCATCTTCATCGTATTGGAAAGTTCCCAAATGAGTTTCCTCATCTTCTAAATTCTTCTCCCTGAGACAAAATTAGATAAAAATTCAGTTCATTATCTTGTTCTTTCAAGATATGTGAAAGTTAGTCGGTGGATCAGAAAACATATCACATCCTGAGATAAACAGAAAATTCATTAGTGCAGACAGAAAGTTTGCATGGTTTAGAATGAGATCAAGCAATGTCATATGGAATCAATGCTATCACATTTTGAATGTATACTTAATATATACTATACGTGGCTATATCTATATTACACTTTTGACACTCATTTTATTTGACTTATATACAGAAAATTCTTTGGGAGCACTAGAGACAGAGGACGTTGGGGACACAGTCTTAGCAATGTGACCCCAGGGACACATGTCTGATGGTGGCTGGGTGTGAAAGTGAGACGCCCAAACGTCCCTGGAAACCTGGAAAGGCCCAGCATTTTCCAGGTTGCAGACGATTTTTTCCCTGAAAACAGAGAACAAAATTTAAGTGGGGTACCAAGACTAAGAGAAAAGTAAATCATAAAGCTAATAATATATCACCAAGAAACACCACTTTTATTTTTTAATGATCTGATCATCATTCAAACCTTAATAACAATGCCTGGGCCAATAGGAGGTCTCTTGAACAATTTCCCAAACCTTCCAACTTCTTTATTGATGTCATAAGCCTCTGAGGTCATCTTGTGTAAAATATTTGCTCCTGTACACAAAACACAAAAACAGAAATAATGTGAGTTAGAAAATTTTAATACTGAAAATTTGAAATCTAGTTGATGATCTTATTTGTAATGGCTTGCCTTGAGACTCCAGAGCAAAGTTGGGCCACAGGTCTGCTTGTGGCAGAAGGTAGTCAACCTTCTGCTCCAACAACTCCAGGTTGGAGAGATGTCTTTGATCCTTGCGTCCAAAGATCGTAACCTGTGCACAACATAAAAATTAACAGCTTGTTCTCATGTTTGATCATGATAATTAAATCAGTGTTAAGATTAGGAAGAGAAAGCCTACCATGTCTGTTAGAGTTGTGAGAGACAACTGTGAAGATCGTGAGTGGAAGGAAATAATACAGCAAATACATCCTGATGAACATGAGCAGAAGACAACAGTGAGAAAAAATTTAAAAATACAGACTTTCTGTGACACTTCCAAATTGACTGTTTGTAGGAGATTATTTACCAAAAGTGACGAAGATGAGAAAGACAAAGACTGATATATCAAAACCACCCTGCAACAGAGTCATCATCATCTGTCTTTCTCTGTCAATCACATTGTCACCAGAATAATGTGACCTCTCTCTAAATGTGACTGCAGGGTGGTTTCAGGACGACCTGTTAAGCGCCTCCTTATGGCCCTAGATGAAAAATATACAAGTGAGTTAAAATGTACACTGATCCGCAGATGACTGCATAAAACATATGACTTAATGAAAATTGCTGATTTGATCTACCTGATTGGCGCCTCCCTGTATGAAATAACAGGTTGTCCATCCATATCATAGTATCCGTTGTTTCTCAAACGTTCACTTCTTCTAAGCATGACTGTAAAAAACCAAAGACATGCAAAAGTGGTACATTTTGGTGCAAAGCATGTCCAAAATGTACCAACACAACTCTACAGTAAAAGTCATTTTCCTCGTAAACACTGTAAATTTAAGATGTAATATATCAAAAACTTCATTTAATGTTGATCAGAACATCATTTAGTTACCTATCAAATCAAATTAATCATTTCATGTGTGAAAATCACCAACCATCCATAAAAATTAAAGAAAAACATTATTTTGCATGTAGAACTCCTTAATATTTTTCTGCTGTTTCAATACTCAGTGAAGTTCGCGTAAATAAAAAAAGGTACTAAAACACAAATGAGACGTTTAATGTTTACATCAAAAAGTTACTCAAATTAAACAATTTGATGTTGAGCTAAAAAAAAAACTGATTACTAACAACTTGTCTTGCTCAACTTTTTTTCAACATTGCTGCACACTTCCTTCAAAAAACTGGCACAAAATGTCATTTTTTCTTTGCTTCACTAATTTCTAAATAAATACTTACTCGAAAAACTGAAGCTCAGTTCAATTCTTGAATTTTTTGAAGTAATCTATCCGACGTCTAACTCTTCAAATGGATGAATTCCTGTAGGAACTCGGCTCTTATTGACAAAAGTTCCAAAAGCGCCTGATGACAAGTCAGCTTATGTGACATCAGAATGCTCCACAGAACCTGCCCACAATTCATTTCTGCCTCTTTTAAATTCATTTAAAGCATTTTAAAAATTAAGGTACGAAAAAAAAATTATCTTGTTAAATTAGTCAATCAAATCACTGCTCTAAACAAAATCAAGAAATGTTTACTTCCCTACTGGCATTTACATGCAGTTATTGCAGTTTTTTAGACATGTTTGATAAAAACATTTCCGTTATTACTGCAGAGCGCTTTCTCTACACCGACACACTGGATTGTACATTTCCTGTTATATATTACAGTTCAATATGCACGTTATGTACATTTTGACAAAGTTGTGCTACTTAGTTGCACATTATCAAAAAGTTTCTGCTATTCTTGTTATTGTTAGTCCTGTTTTCATATGCACTTCAAAGTTTAGGAACTATTGTGTGAACTTGTATCTAAATGCAGCTATAAAACTGAATAAATGTAACCCCAACTTTCTATATTTGTGTATGCATGATGGAGAAAGGGGAACTATTACATTGCTTATGGCAATGCAACAAAACCAGGGCTTTTTGGGAGGAGGTTAAGAAAATAAGAATTATTTAAAAAGATATTTCAATGGATCCTGCTCAATTAAGAGAGAGACAGGACAAACAGCCATGCACAGGACAATCCATGACAAACACAGAAGTCCAGCAACAGTTCACCACTGGAGTTTAGATCAGCAGGGCCATTCCTCCCAACCACATCCCTCCATGTCTCACTGACATTGCCCCGTTGCAGACCCCAGTAGAACAAATGAATACCCCTGAGAGGCACACTCCAGTACCCCGTACCAAAAAGGGTGGGTAATCTGAACTGTTGTTTGGCCCATAAGGACAGACAACGGTCAGAACCCTGAACCTCATGCACTCCAGTGTGCATGAGGAGCACACTGGAGCCCCTGATGAGTGTGCACACATGCATGTGCATGAGGGGCACATGCATACTGGAGCATGATGAGTGTGCCACCCTTTCTGGAGTGCCTGCACGTTGGGGTAAACGCCAACGTGCAGGCACCAAGATGGGGACACATAACTGCATGATGGGCACACTGGAGCCCCTCATGCACACTGGAGCATGAGTGTGCATGAGGTGCACACTCATGCACATGCATGCTCCGGCACATGCACACTGGAGGCATGAGTGCCTGTGTCTGTGTGTGTGGACCTTTTGTACTGAAGAATCTCAGAGTGTCTCCTGGGAACCAGAAGAACCGGGTTCAGGGTCCTCATTGTAAATAGGAGGACCCCGCATGCAGTCCAGTGTTCACGCGGGGCACACTCATGCACAGCATGCCCCTCATGCATGTTCATGAGGGGCACCTGCAGTCCTGTGTGCACAAGGGGCACACAGGAAGCACTTTTTCTTCCAGTGTGCATGAGTGTGCCACAAGAGAGGGAGGAAGTTGGGGAAACAATATTGGGAATGTAACCCAGGGATACATGAATGATGGCAGCTTTGTGGGACAGTGCGATGGCTAAAACATCCTGGGAAATCTACAAAGGCCCAATAATGTCCTGGATTCAGAAGAGTTCTTCCCTAAAAACAAAACAAAGTTTTAGGTGGGGTACCAAGACTAAGAGAAAAGAAAATCATAAAGCCTAATGTTATATCTACAAGAAACACCACTTTTCCTAATATTTTTTTAATGATCTGATTATCATTCAGACCTTAAGGAGCAGAAAGAGAGAGAGAACAGTAAGCAAGAGCGAGAGAAGGGATAGCACAGGAGGAGCCGTTGTTTTAAGAAGTTTCTAGAAGTGAGTAAAACTTGTCTTCAAGAGAAGTTATGCAAGCTACCAGTACATAGTCAAGTTTTGGCTAGAAACTGTCTAACTGTGTGTTAGTTTTCTTGGTTGTATATTCACTCTAAAGTTAGAGCAAAGCTGTTGCTACAAAGGACTTTTGTAAGCAGCTGTGACTGTTAGAGTAGCACTTAAAACGTTACAGAAGGTCGTTACCGGACTGGTTAACGAGGACCTTGACTCCAGATAGTCACTCTGAGTGCCCGTGTCGCTCAGAGTACCTCTGGCACCGAGGGAAAGGAGAGCCGTCGATGTGGAGAGCACATGAAGGCCACACAAACTGCTTTTTCCCTGAGCTACTGTTTTTGGATGGTTTAGAGGGCTCGCTGGACACTGGGTGAAGTATCGCTTGGATTTGTTGGACAACAAGGTACTGAGTTGACAGTCAATATCTGGACTGTTGAGTCGGAGGGAATCCTGATTCCTGAGCATCTTAACAGGCCTGCAAAGTAGATAGTATTTGCTGCCATATTATCTTAGTTACAATGGGTTATATAACTAGTGTTTACCCTGTATGAATTTACTGTTCTGTGGGAATAATGTTTATTTTTTCTGGTTTGTCTAAACCCTAAACCTGTCATTTCCTTATTTTATTATTATTTTTGCCTAATTAAAGGAAGGTTATTATAAACCATTTTGCTTGGTATGTAGTACAACTCACTTTAGCAGAGTTCAGGGCTGATCGAACCAAAATACTATAGAGAAAAAATAAGAGAGTATACAGAAACATAGAATCCAAACCCCACTTATTTCCGGAAGCGTGTAAGTGAGGACTACATCTGTCCAGTTCCTAAAACAGAGAAAAATAGACCCTAAAAGTTTTGTCACATCAGAAACTGTGTATTCCCTGAACTTCTGACTGTCTGCCAACATCTATCTCACGAGATACAATGAGGGGATTCAGCCCTTCTTCACAAAAAGGTTTAAAGTACACTTGGTTAGTAACATCTTTTTTTCTACATATCCACACCTGGATGAGTTATTCCTCAAATGTTGGACAATAAACCACACTTCAGGTATAGAACTGCTTGTTATACTCTGTCTGGATGAACTCAATGGCAGGTTTTTCCAGAAGATATACGAAATGAAAATGTCACAAAGTTTGAATGCAACTCAGCTGAATTACGTAAAAAATGACTTTTGACTCTAGAGGGACTTTAGACGGATGAGGTTAAAGCAGGACCTGAGCAGTGCTTTTCCGTATTTCCAGGGTGACATTGTTGACAACTTATTTAGCTTCCCTGAATACTGTGAAGCTAGTAAGTTTAAAAGGCAGAGCACCAAATAAATAATTTTATACTCTTGCATTGTATTGCTATAGATCAATAAACTTCAATATCATAGTTGTGTTTTATCAAACACATGTGTGCAAAACTCTTTCCACAATTCCTCAAACTTACTTATTGTCTTACTGTTTTACCACCTCTTCTGCTTTTGTGTCTTCAGTGTGGTTTTGGTCACTGAAGAACACATTTAACATGTCTTCCCGTTCTTGGTGCTTTCTTGTACTGATGTGATTCAAAACATGTATTCTGTGAACAATTACATCCTACTTGGAGGATCTCTGACATTTCTTCTTGTATTTTGCAATTGTTGTCCAACAATTGGTCTGATTTGGCTATGAAAAATTTTTGCTAATGGCAATTATTAACAAAGTTAGTAATTTATATTAAAATTACATAGTCAGGGTACAACCTGATTATTAATAAACAATAGCCACATAGTCCCCATTATGGAACGAGGCAATGAAAATGGCTTGGTGTTAAAATAAAAATAAATAAATTCATGTTTCAGAACAGCAAAACTACACATGTATGTAACAACTCTGATATCCAGCATCACTGCAATGCATGTTTTAGATGAGTCTCCATTCCTGCAGACCTGATTGGGAGTTAATTCAAATTCCTGGTATTTGGTTTCCAACCCCAAATTCCTGGGAATTTGGGGTTGAGATACTAGCAGTAAAAAAAAAGTTGAGATACTAGCAGTAAAAACTAGACCAAAATTATTTGGTAGGATTTTGTGTTTTTGCAGTTTAGGCATTTGAACCCTGTAAGTCTCGATTTAGGAGTTAATGTAACTATTTTTCCCACCAAGACAACAAATAATACTATTGCAGACACAACATTCAAATGTAGAAATCTATGGTCTGTCCAGGGCAAATCAGTTAAAATTAGGCTTAAACTACTCTGGCCAATCAAAATCGTTTTGTTTTTATGTGTTTTACAGGAAACATGCTCAATCTGGACTGGTCTTTCACT